ACCTAGTAAGACCTTGTCTCAAAAGAATAAATAAGGGCCGGGGATTTAGCTCAGTGGTTCTGGCACCTGCCTCACAAGCGCAAGGTCCCCAGTTCGATCCCCGGTACCAAAAAAAAAAAAAGAATAAATAATATAACCAGGTGTGGTGGTGCACACCTGTAGTGCCACCACTCAGGAGACTGAGGCAGGAGGATCCTGAGTTCTGGGCCAGCCTGGGCTACCAGTGAGTTCGAGACCAGCCTGTACCACAAAGTGAGACACTTTCTCAAGCAAAACACACACCCACACCCACGATGGGGTGGGGGAGTTGAGCCCAGTCTCTCCTGAACTGCAAGACCCCCTCATAGTTGGGGCCCTAGACCTGCTCCCTGGCCCGCCTTGAATAGTGTGCCTTGCCACCATCTTTTTTTTTTGTACCGGGGATCCAACTCTCGGGACCTTGGGCTTTCGAGGCAGGCGGCAGAACCACTGAGCTAAATCCCCGGCCCTTTACCACCATCTTTTAAAAATTACTAAATAAAACGAAGCAGCAGACTCCTCTAACGCAGTTCAAGGCCTCCTTCCTCCTTTGGTTCCCGCCTCTCTCCCAGCACACCTTGTGCTGCGGCCTTGAATAAACACAGCCGCGTGACCGCCAGGCGGGCGTGGAATTCTGAATGGAATGCACAGCCCGGCCAGCCTGGGCCTGAGTGGGCCTGAGCGGGACTGGCGCTGGCCGTGGATTTATCCAGGCAAAGAAGCCAAACAATGAGCTCATGGTCAAGAATGCGGCCTGTGGGGAAGTCTGCGCCAGAGCAAACTGGTTTCTGAATCAAATGGGAAGAGCTGCAATTGAGTCTCCCACGGGAACAGGCTCTGGAAGGGCAGCAGCGCCATTGAGCTTTCAGGGGGCAGTTCAGTAACTTAGGGCCCTTGTTAAACTCTGCCCTGCCGTACTCAAAACCCTGTGCTTCCTTCCCCAGCTCTCTGAACCGAGGGTCTCCAGGGCAGAAGACATCCCAGTGCCCTGTCCAAAACGCATCTGCAACGTCGACTGTGGTCTATGCGCCTAGAGACTCTGGTTAGGGCACGCACTTTCCACATCTATCAGTGGAGTCTTAGTTTCTTTTTTTCTGGTACTACGGATCAAACTCAGGACCTTGCACTTGGCAGGCGAGGCGCCACTGAGCTAAATCCCTGGTCCTGTTACTTTCTAAATAAACATAATCCACCCAGGATTTTTGTTTTCTTTTTTTGTACTGGGGACTGAACCCCGGGCTTTCCCACTAAGCTACATCCCTACCCCTTTCAAAACATTTTTTAAAATTTCAGACATGGTCTTGATAAATCCTTTGGTTGTCCAGGCTAGGCTCAAAATTCCAGTCCTCCTGCCTCAGCCTCCCAGAGTGCTGGGATTAGAGGTGTGAGCCACCAATTCCAGCTTCCACTAAATTGTGTCATTTATACCCAGTTCAGATCAGAAAATTTTTTTACCAGTATTTTCCCTTTTTCTTTTTTTTAAATGTAAGAACTAAAATAGTTCACTTCTTATACTTTTGTACAGCACTTTGTTTAGTGTTCTAATTTTGTGACACAGGGTCTCACTATGTAGTTCAGGCTGCCCTTGAACTCAATATGCAGCCCAGGCTGGCCTCGAATTTGTGGGAATTCTCCTGCCTCAGCCTCCTGAGTGCTGGTATCACAGGCATGCGCCACCATGCCTGGCATGTTTTCTAATTATTTTTATCCATGCTTATCACTCTTAATAGATTGTAAGCATTCACATTTTATAGATTCATTTTGCATAAATTCTCCCACATGTATCTCCTAAGAACAAGGGTGTTGGATAACAACCGCAATATAATACACTCAAGAAGATTTGAGCCATGTGTTGAGGAGAACACATATAATTCCAGCCGTTCAGGGGACAGAGGCAGGAGGTCCAAATTCAAGCCCAGTCTTTGGGAGCCAGGCGTGATAGCCAAGTCTACAATTGCAGCACTCTGGCAGGCTGAGCCGAGAGGGCCACAAGTGGACCCTAGCCTGGGCAATACAAAGGTTAAGCAAAATCCTGTCTCCAAAAAAAAAACCACACCCTAAAACTATATTATAGGGGCTGCGGCTATAGCTCAGTGGGAAGGCCTTGGGTTCGATACCCAGTACCAAGGGGGCAAGGGTGGAGCCGGGAAAGATGGCATACACTGTAGTTCCACCAGGTCAGCCTGGGCTACACAGGGAGTTCGAGGCCAGCATGAAACACTGTCTTCAAAAAACCAAAAATAGGCTGAAGATATAGCTGTGTTGATTCAATCCCCAATCTCTCTCACACCTCTCTCTCTCACACTCTCTCTCTCACACACACACACACATACACACACACACACACTCTGGGGATGTAGCTTAGTGTAGAGTGTTGTATGTGCAAGGCCCCAAGTCCAAATCCTAACCCCCACCCCAAACGCACACACAACCCTCAGAACACCAAGTAGTCTCTGTGAACCAGTGTGGCTTTCAGACCTTTGTAAAACTGAATTGTGGTAAGTTGAGGACCAACTGTACTTGGGAAAGACCCTTAAACATTTTCCAGTGGCCAGGAGCTATTATTACGCTATGCAGGTGAAGAAAGGAACTATACATTTATTAGAAGGTAAAATGTGGAAACAAAAACCTGCCACACAGATCTGTTTTTTCTTTCAACCTCATAAAAATTATTAGTCAAGAGTTCTGGCCTGGCAGGTTGGTGCACACCTGTATTCCCAGCTACTGACAGGGGTGGGACAGGATTAACTGAGCTCAGGTTTGAGGCCAGCCTGGGCAATAGTGAGAGAAGTCTTAAAAAAAAAGTCTGAATCTGACACACAATTCTGCCTCCGCCTGGAGAGTCCCCGCCCTCATCTTTCCAGATGCCTCATGTGACTAACACTGGTACATACAACTCTCAAACTATACAACTGAAGAGGGACAGAAGTAAGTTTTCAGATCTTGAAATTTAGAAGACCTTGAAGTATGTAGAACGGCTCAAGAAGACACAAGTTCTGTAACCACTCAACAAAAACCAAAAACCTAGAATACTCAGCTGATTCTTTTGTTTTTGAGACAGGGTCTCACTATGTAGTTCAGACTGGCTTCGAACTCATGGTGATCCTCCTGCCTCAGCCTCTCAAGAGCTGGGATTATAGGCATGTGCCACCACAGCAGTTTTCAGATGAACTTCTTGTTCTGCTATACCAGTGATTACCAAGGACCCATTCATGCCAGGCAAGTGCTCTACCACTAATCAGCTTTTTATCTTCAACTCCAGAATTACTGGCCTTCCCTCTGGGCACCTGGCTGGAGCCATGCGACACATGTGTCTAAGTTATTTCACAATATCTGTAAAATTTTCCAGCTGTTCCAACTGGTTTAAAGAAAAACACGGGACTGTAGGGTGTGCTGGGTATGGAACTCAAGGCCTCGAACATGCTAAGTATGTGTGTCCTGCCACTGAGCAACATCTCCAGATCCCAAAGAAAAATCTCAAAGGAAACAGCGTGAGGGAAGACCCAGCTCTACAAGGTTACAAATCAGGAACTGAGGGGCAGGTGCTAGTGACTCAGGTTACCTAGGTACTACTCCATGTTTTCATGATGCCAAACTTAAGGAATATTGCTTCATGCTCCAGTGCTTCTGTGTGGCATCGGCACAGAGAACACGGTGAAGGCCAAGATCTGGGCCCTCATGCCACCTTAAAAAGCTGCTACTCTCCAGCCACCCCACTCCTTGGGAGTGCACTTGTACAAAGCAGCTTTCAAGATACAGCTGCTGCCTTCAGGTAGTGAGGCCCCAGAGGGCTTCTGACCACAGTGGACGTTTAGACAGACAGCACCCTGTACGCGTGCATGCTCAAGCGTTCGGTGCTCAGGACAGACAGCCACTATGCAAAGCTCACATTTGCACATTTCCATGGTGATTCGGCTTCCTCTCAAACGCAGCTGAAACCATAGGCCTGATAAAGTCTTTGAAATTGATTTGCTTATTCTCACCTTTTTTTTTGTACCGGGGATAGAACTCGGGACCTTGCGCTTGTGAGGCAGACAGCGGAACCACTGAGCTAAATCCCCAGCCCACCTTTTTTGTACTCCTGGGGATTGAACCCAGAGAGCTCCAAACTGCATCCTCACCCCCTACCCCTTTAACAGGGTCACACTATGCTGGCAAGGGTTGCCTCAAACCTGCAAACCTCTGGAGTGGCCAGGATTATGGGTGTGCACTGCTGTCCCTGGTTCTCAGCTCCTTTTTGGGAGAGGGAAAGGGAGAAGCACTAAAATCCTAGTACAAACTTCATTAAAACTTTTTTTGGTGTTATTCTAGCACCTTAATCACAAAGAGAGGAGATGAAATAATGCTATAGTGAATACTCTTACTTTAAAAATACACCCACACATTGGGACTCAGTGAAAAGTCAGGACAGGGGTTTTATTTTTGTAATTAAAGGGCTGAAGTAGGATTCCAAGTTTGACACCAACCTGGGCAAATCAGTGACCTTTTCTCAAAATTTTAAAAAATGGGCTGGGATCTTGGGGGGTGGGGCCTGCTGGTAATCCCAGCATTTAGAAGGCTGAGGCAGGAAAATCTTGAATTCAAAGCCAGGTTGGACAAGATGCTATCAAAAAAAAAAAAGAGGCTGGGGATGTAGCTCAGTGGTAGAGCACCCCTAGGTTCTTAAATCCAGTATCACAAAAAAGCACAGGCACCACTCCAGAAGTACAACACATTTCATCAAAAACCCAACACCTCTATACCAGGAGCACACCTGTAATCCCCACCAGCAAGGAGACAGCAAAATCACCATGAATTCAAGGCCAGCACACTTCAAAATAAACAAAACCCTAGCCTCTTAATTTAAATGAAGAACTACCCTTTGCTCTAAGGCAAATCAGCTTTGTGGGGCCTTTGCTTTCAATTCACCTATACACATCTGCTCAGGTGACTTCCCTAAAAGGAGGAAGGAAATGTCAAGCAGGAAAGACCCATACCACACCTTCATTTGCAAAGATTTATTTTTTTTTCTCAGGAAGAACAGGAAGTTAGGGAAAGACACATTTTACAGCTCATTAATCTGTAGTTGGTCCTAATCCTTCCTGGCACAGTGTCAAAAACAGCTGTTTAACCAGAAAGAGGTGCCCACCCTCCCCCAACAGAAGGTATACCACCAACTCTAGAGGACTGCGTGTTTTTTCCCTGAGAGAAGCGTAAGACAAATAGAAGTCACTGAGAGCTATCCAAGCAGCCCCTCCCTTTCCCTCTTGAATGATTTTGCCTGAACTATGCAGCCAGTTAGCACTTTGTAAGACCACGTGCCTCTTCTTCCTATAAATCAACTACAGTTCCTCCAACCTTCCCCCACACATCCCTTTCCCCAATCACACGGGCTCGGTAAGGCTCAATGCCCTGGACCCAAAGCACCGAGATCCCTCCTGTATTTCAGCCTTGACACCATCAACTGGGAAGTGAGGCTCCTGTACACCATTTACACCTTTCCACTTGTCTTCACAACTGGATATGGGAAGAGAAGTTTTTCAGTCACCTTAATCAGATCGTAAGATTAATTAAAAACTACATAAAGTGCTTTTAGGTTGAGAGAGACAGATATAAATAAGTGGTTTGTGATCAAGAACGATAAATACATAGGTAAAAATAGCTCTAGCAAGATGACTTTATGGCTCCAAGGAGGACAGGCAGGGCAATCCTTCTTACATTCTCCGTCATTTTATTCACCCCTATTTTTATCTGGAGTGCAGACTGAAGGTCGCGCTGAGACTGAAGCTTTCAAATAACTCTAGCTGCACCAGAAGCTTTCTTCAGTTTACCAGCAGCTCTTATGTAACTCTGGGGTTTGACACAGGCCCCTCCTTCTAAAATTTCAATGAGCATATTCAAATGCAAATATTTTAAAGAAATAAATGTTATAGCTTCTGAAAATTCCCAAGAGGATTTTCAAAACCTTCCTCCCAAAAACAGGTCGAAACAACTGCAAGGATATCAAGAACAGGTATCCCTCCCACGCCTATGACTGTTACTGTCACAACACCCAGGGTGCTCCTACCTCCCAAGGGATAAAGTCCATGATAGGCGAAGGTCTGTGAGCTGGGGGTGGGTGGGTTAATTAGGCTCCCAACAGGGCTTCATAGTGCTGAAAACTAAAAGGGCAAGTAAGTTCAAAGATGGCAGGGTAATGATGTAGAAATAGATGTAAATATCTGTACAGGGAGCAGGACTAGCAGCACATATTTCAAAGACAGGAAATACAGTAAATTCAGTAGATCAGGTCTGAGACCAGATATGCCAATGCAAAAATTCAAAACAAAGCTTGGGAATCACTGATGGAAAAGAAACTGTGAAGTATTTCTTTTATTTACATAGGAGGCTTAAACCTGTGTTTAACAAGCAAGCCCAGTATTAGCACCATTAGATTCTGGCCTGCTTTTGCAAGCCATCATTTTACAAATTAAGTAAACAAGGAATCAAATGTCTCTCACACACAATGCTCACTTGGAACAGCTGAAAATTTTTCAGTGAAAGCTTTAAAGATGAGCTCATGAACTCAGTTTTAAGTTGCACCAGTTAAATTAGGTCAAATTTAAGAACTCAAAGCAAGTTGTCTAATCAGAGTCCACTATTTTTACGACATCAGCCCACCCACTCCTAAAACCTATTTAAGGAATATTTACCAAAATCAGACATAAAAATTAAGCCCTGCATAGCTATGAATCAGATTTGCTCCAGCACAACCAGGTTGCATACAAGTAACATTAGTTAGTTCTGCATACACTCTAGAACTGACCAGGACAAAGTTCTGAATAGAAACCTCTAAGAAATAGATTGCTAGGGCCGGGGATTTAGCTCAGTGGTTTCACAGCCTGCTGTGCAAGTGCAAGAAACTGAGTTCTATCCCTGGCAGAAAAAAGAAAGAAAGAAAGAAATAGATTCCTAACTACAGAAGTTGCAAAGTTTGAAAGGGTATGAAAAAAACTACTGCAAATTTGAGATATACTTTATGTCCAAAGGAACACCTTCTGTAAAAATACATACAATTTTTACAGACAAATACAGTTGCTTTTGTTTTAAAAATTGAGACTAGTCCGTATTTCTAACTATTGTTGGTCTATTCAAGAAATACACTGGGGAAAAGTGAATTCTAGAGGGAAAGCTACCCTTCATACGCTGTTCTACAGTACTGAGGCCTGTGGTCAGAGTTCAGTTCCTTGTAGCTTAAATCCATTTCACACACGTCACTACCACTGTTAGTGCTTCTCTTTTAACACTAGACAATCGATGATTTGGTGGGCATATTTAATGACTTCTATGACTAGCTGGCTACTGGCCACTCCTCTGGTTCTACAAAAAGAAATCAAGTCCTTCCACCCTATCATCTTCACTAAATCTGACGTCTTTCAGGGTCTTGCAGTTTGCTTGTTGCTGAAACTGCACTTTGCTTCTTTCAGACTGTGACTCTTGAAGGGGACTACTTTTCCCATTACTGGTAGCCATAATTTTCTTGCTTTCTGGCCTCTTTGAAGTTGCTGCTTGGACAGCTTCAAGCCCAGACTCATAAATACTTTGATTTCACAGAAGTGTATTGTTTTGGTGCCTGGGGTTGTTTAACAGTCAACTATTGCACTTACAAGGCTATCTTATTAGATATGCCAAACCAGCTCCTACTCCAGCAACACCTGCAAAAGCCAGCAGCACATTTCTGATGCCGCCTTCTAGATCCTCTACGTGGAAGAACTCCACAAACCCATCCTAGAAAACAAAAAAGAGAAGCACATTTTCAAGTATGGGTTTCTGCTGTCTTAAAAACACTATATACAGAGAAATGATAAATTAACGTATTTCCCAAAACAATGACAAACCAATTATTCTCTTATGCTGCAAAACAAAACACATTTCTGGCATTCTTCAGTAAGTGAGCACCTATAGTATTAAAATAACTTCACTGAAATACTTGATCATATTTACACAATCTAAAAGAATTCCTATTAGGTACAAGCCAAAAATCCTCACTTCCCTCAAATCCCCACCACCTGATATATCGGCTGTATAGATTAGTATTTCTCACTGTGGTTAGGTACATCCTGCTTCAGAGCTATCTGGGTGTTAATGCTTACAATGCAGGCTCCACCCTATATATACACATAATTAAAGTGAAGGGCCCCTTAGAAATATCTTTAGTTACCATCCCCAGATGACTCTTATTTCTTCATGGTTTGAATCCACAGGTCTGAAGTTTATCCAACTGAATTACAAGAATTACCTTCAGAAAACCAGGGCTTTTGATACGTATCACTTCTCTGTGAAACCACTACTTAATTTAGCATCAAGCAACCAGAGGTCTGTAGTTAAGGGCCCGGAAACTGAGTCAAGCGTCACAAAAACCTTCAGATACTTTCATCTTTCTCAGAAACTCCTTCATTCCATCTCCACTCCACGACCCCCTTCATCCCTAAGGCGAACTTACCCAGCCTCTTTGTTTGATTAGCCAGTCCCTTTTTGTTTGTACGAGAACTTCTGTGATACTTTCTGCTAATGGTTCGATGCAGCTTTCTTGGTTTATGTTCTTCAAGTGTTTGGCCACAAAGGCACCAAAAGAAATGAGAGTCACAATCCTGCCCCAGTTTGTTACGCCATCACTGAAAACATGGACCATCACTCGTGACAAGGATTTGACATCGTCTTCGTTTTTGATGTCCAGTTTTCGAAGCATTCCTGAGGAAGAAAAGCACGCACGTCCCCATTGTCTGAACCCGGGCCCGACCCGCCTGGCCACCCGCAGCGGGGGAAGTCGCTATTCGGGCTCCGGAGAACTCAGGCCGACCCCACTGGAAAACCCACATCCCACCCTTTCCGGTCTTTGAACAGAGCTGCCATTTCCAAAAGAACCAGGATGGGCGGAAACAATGACTCACGGGCCGAGCATTCATTCGGCGCGGCGCCAGGCCCGGCGGTCCCGCCCGAGTCCCTTACCTTGGAAGGCAGTCTCGTGGTTGCGCTGCACACCGTCCCCGACCCGCCGCAGCGTCTCCAGCGCCTTCCTGCTGCCCGCCCCGGCCCCGGGCCCGCCCAGCGGCTTCGAGTCCTTGGCGCCGGTGGCCTGTTCCCGCAGGTACCGCGAGATGATCTCCAGCGACTGCCGGTACAGCTCGTCCTCCTCCTCCTCCGCCGGAGGCGGCGTCGAGGGCAGCGAGCCGTCGGCGCTGGGGCTCTTCCCGGCCTCCCCGACCAGCTCCAGCAGGGGCAGCACGGCCGGCCGCTTCCCGAGAGGCTCCGGCTCGTAGCCGTCCAGCTCCTCCTCGGGCGACATGATGGCGCCAGCGGCCGGGGCTGCCATGTCCTGAGGCCGCCTGGCGCAGAGGGTGGGCGCGAAGAACAGCCGCCTGCCGGGGGTCGCGCTGACGTCGGGGAGCTCGGCGCCAATGGGCGCCGGCCGCGCGCCCCTCCGGGCGTCCTGCGTCGGGGCGGCCGCGGGACTCCCGCCCGCCTCCCCTCCCCCCGCCTCCCGCCGGGCCGCGGCCTCCTTCTCGGTCGCCAGAAGCCGCCCTCCCGGGGAGGTGGCGCCGCCGCTGCCGGCGCCCAGCCCGGCTCCGCCGCAGTAGAGGTTCAGGCCGATTACCGCGTTTCTTTTAAGACCAAACATCGCGGGGGCCGCCGCTGCCACCGGGGTGAGGAAACCGGGAGGGAGGCCTGGAGTCCTCACTTGAAGGAAGCGGAAGTACCGAATGGGAGAGGTTCTCCTAGGTCCCGGTTTTTGGGCCAGTCCTACGCGGTGGCGTCAGAGAACTAAAAAAAAAAAAAAAAGTTTCCATAAAAGGGAAGAGAGCGGAAGCTCCGGGAGAGCTGCGCACGGCCCCGGCGGGGCGGGGCGGGGCGGGGCGGGTCCTTCCGGCCCGGCCGCGGGTTGCGTAACGGCCGTCCGGTCCGGCCACGGCTTCGGCTCGCGGGGCGCTCGGGACGTCGGCAGCCCCTCGGCCTCTGCCAGCTTCTCCGCGTCCTGACCCCCGAGCCCTCGCCGGTTTTGTGTCAGAAGTGTTCGGGTCCGTCTTCCAGAAGCAAACCAGTGCTAACTCTCGAGTCACCCAGAGGTGGAGGAAGGGGCTGGGGAAGTTAGTTGTGTGGTGAATGGGAGCAAGGCTAAGATGCTGGTTAGATAGATACAAGGACGCGTTGGGGCCCTGTACTCTTAGCTGACCGTGTCTGCGTTGGGAACACTCCGTGAACCGCCTTAAAAAACCATTAATACTTAAGTGACCTAACCGGAATTGTTCATCTCTAGCTAAACTTCATGGCTGCCTCCCCCGTTTTCCCCTGTACTGGGGACTGAACCCAGGGAGCCTCGAGCTACATCCTTAACCCCCAGCCCTGCCCTCTGCGTTTTATTGGAACGCGAGATCGAACTCAGGGCCTTCGCACATCCACAGCCTATTTTATTTTCTTTATTTTCTTTCTTTAATAATTTTTTTGGTACCGGGGATCGAACTCGGGTCCTTGGGCTTGCGCAGCAGGCGGCAGAAACACTGACCTAAATCCCCGGCCCACCTCCCTCTTTTTATTTTGAGGCAGGGTCTTGATAAATTAACCAGGCTAGCCTGGGATTAGTGATCCTCCTGCCTCAGCCTTCCAAGTAGTTGGAATTACAGTTGTGTCTCCATATGTCCTGCTCCATCCCCCATCTCAATTCCAGTCTCTGGTACTGTAAATCTTACTGCATTAGCGTTAAGGTATGTACCGAGTTTGTGGTCTCAACAGGAATGTAAAGTAGCAAAGGTGGAGATTAGGAGAGTTTTATTGGAAAGAATAAGACTGCTCCTGGATTTCTTGGAGGGGATCCCCGTGGGTGATATCCCTGCATCGCCCAGTTGTTCAGTGGCCAACTCTTGACAACTGCCTCTGGATTTAATATGACCAACTGGGCCTCAGGCTTCTACCCCAGCTCTTCAGATGTAGAGTTTCATGCACACTGGGATTTTAGAGGGGAAAAAAACCTAGTTATTTAAAATTCCTCAGAACTCCAGAGCTTTGTAGGGAGTGGCCATACTTCCCTTTAGTAGGGTGGGGCTGCATTCCATATTGCCTGAGGAAGTTCATTCTTGGTCCAAAGTCCTAGTTCACTATCCATGTATCTGTATGGCTGGTCACTTGACTCTATCTCAGGTCTTTCTCCTTAGCTAGCTGCCTTACTCAGAAGCTAACTAAATTGTTCTTTACATCTCTTCTGAGAATGTTTACATCATTTGTTTTTTTATTTTTTTGGTACCGTGGATCGAACTCTGGTCCTTGCGCTTGCACAGCAGGCGGTGAAACCACTGAGCTAAATTCCCTCCCCTACACCATTTATTTTTGTATCGATAATAAGGCACATTTAGGGCTGGGGATTTAGCTCAGTGGTTTCACCGCCTGCTGTGCAAGCGCAAGGACCAGAGTTTGATCCACGGTACCAAAAAATAAAAATAAGGCACATTTAATTTTAGGGGTAAACCCCTTAAGGACAAGGACCCTGGTATATGCTATGTATAGCATATAGCACTAATGGAATCAACCTCATTTTGTTAAAAGATCTGTAAAAATAATAGCAAAATTTTGCAAAACAAGGTATTCGAGAGAGAAACAGGAAAGGGAAGCAAAGTTCCTATTCCTCAAAATAGTGTATATCATGGTATAGTAAAGGAGACAGTATACCCATGCCATGAAGTTGTGTTTGGGGCGGGATATAGACTCAGATTTACCGTATGTGGCAAGGAGGAGGATGGGGAGCATACTGTGTTGGTAATGAGTAAGAAATGTTTCTGTATTTAAGGAACTTAAACCTTGCATAACAGCTAACCCTAATGTGAGACAGAATGTATTTGTGTGCTCTAAGTGAGGCAGCAACAACTCAATATTGGGCTGAAAACTGGGCATGGCGGTGCATGTCTGTAATCCCAGCACACTGGGAGGCTGAGGCAGGAGGATTGAAAGTGGTTTAGTGACCCTGTCTCCAAGTGAAAAATGCCTGGGGATGTAGCTGAGTATGAAGGCCTGGGTTCAATCCCCAGTGTTAAAAAACAAAAGCAATGGCTTTTCCTTTCATGGAGGGTGAAAAAAGAAATGCACATTTCATTCTCTGAGTCTGAAATCTCCAAGGCTCAGCAATACTACTGCAGTTATTCAGTGCACTGTGCTCCAGAATGACTGTTGTACACCCCTCTGTCCTCAAATCCTGTGTCTCTCCTCCCTTCTTCTGCACTGGTAATTTAATTCACCTAGAAAACAGTTGGATTTAGCTCAGTGGTTCTGGTGCCTGCCTCAAAAGCGCAAGGTCCCAAGTTCGATCCCTGGTACCAAAAAAAAAAAAAAAACAGTTGGAAAAGAAACGAACTTCATTTCCCCACCAATCCTACTAATTTTCTGCTTTGTTCCCATTCCCTCTCTCCTGCGGATAAAAGTAATCGACCTGGGCCAGGGATTTAGCTCAGTGGTTCTAGCCCTTGCCTCAAAAGCGAAAGGTCCCGAGTTCAATCCCCAGTACCAAAAAAAAAAAAAAAGTAATCGACCTTCTGTACTAAGATCAGCCTCTTCACTTTTGCACTAGATTCCATCTCCTTTGCCTACTCAGATATGTGCAGTTATCCCTTGATATTCCTACAGCATAAATTTCTTCCTGTTTGTGAAAACATTCATCAGATACAGACTTAATAGTCTTCTAGCCCAGCTTGGTGGTGCATGCCTGTTGGGTCACAAGTTCAAGTCCTACCTGAACAATTTAGTAAGATTCTGTCACAAAATAAAAAAAAGGGCTGGGGTATAGCTCAGTGGTAAAGTGCCTCTGGGTTTGATTCCCAGTAAAAAAGGAAGGAAGGAAGAAAGAGAGAGATAGAGGAAAGATGATTTAAACCGCATGGTGGTGCACACCTGTAATCCCAGCCAGCACTTGGGAGGGTGAGACAGGAGAATCATCCAAAGTTCGAGGCCAGCCTGCACTACATAGCCAGACCTTGTCTCAAAAAGCAAAACAAGGGCCGGGGATTTAGCTCAGTGGTTCTGCCGCCTGCCTCGAAAGCACAAGGACCCGAGTTTGATTCCCTGTACCAAGACAAAACAAAAATAACAATAACAGAGTCAGATGTGGTGGCGCATGCCTGAAATCTCAGCACTCAGGAGGCTGAGGCGGAAGATTACTTTGAGTTTGAGGCCAGCCTGGGCTACATAGTGAGTTCAGGGCCTCCTGGGCTATATAGTGCGACCCTGTCAAAAAAACCAAAAGAAGAAAAAGAAAAGATAAAGACCTATGGTTGGGTGATGGTAACAGAAATGGAAAAGATACATTTAGAGATACAGTGGAAGAAGCATCTATAGGGCTTGGGTCTAGGAGGAAGACAGGGCTGCGTGTGTTGGCCCAGGCCTGTGATCCCTGGACTCTGGGAGGCTGAGGCGGGAAGATTGCTAGTTTAAACCCAGTTTGATGAATTTAGTGACTTATTTTAAATTTTTTAAAAAGGCTGGGGATGTAGCTCTGTGGGAAGTCCCTGGGTTCACTCTCCAGAACCAAAAATAAATTTAAAAGATATAAAAATAATAACCAGCCGGGCATGGTGGCACACATACTTGGTAATTCCAGCACTTGGGAGGCTGAGGCAAAAGGATCATCACAAGTTGGAGGCCAGCCTGGGGTACATAGTGAGTTCAAGACCAGCCTGAACTACCTAGCAAGACCCTATCTCGAAATAATAATAATAACCATAGAGCAAGGAACTGACAGATGAAAATAACATGCTTGGTGCCAAAAGCAGATGTATGAGCACAATGCATGAGCACTCAGAGGAGGAAAGCGATCCTGAGGTAGAGATTGCACTTAAGGAATGCTCAGCGGGCGTGGATTTAGCTCAGTGGTTTCACCGCCTGCCTCACAAGCATAAGGTCCTGAGTTCGATCCCCGGTACCAAAAAAAAAAAAAAAAAAAAAAAAGGAATGCTCAATGCTCATCGGGAGAAAAGACAAAGAGTTCTGAACAGTACATGGTCAGTGAGCGATGTGGGTGTGGAAGTGCAAGTGGTAAAAGTGCAGAGCGGCTGCCTGAGGGCATTGGCTTTCAAATCCAACCAGCTCAGGTCTGCCGTTCACCAGCCCCGAGTCTGGGCAAACGATTTGGTCTCTGAATGTGTTTGTTCCTCTGTAAAGTGAGACTTATTCCTACTTGATGAGGCCACAGCAATCTAAGACAGCAGTTTACAAAGTGGTCCACAGACTGCTGGAGTTCCCAAAAACCTTTGCAGGCAGGTCCTGAAGGTCAAAAATATTTTATTTTTAAACTTTATTTATTTATTTAGTTTTTTTTTTTTGGACACAAGGTCTCGCTCTGTAGTTCAGGCTGGCCTTGAACTTGAGGTGATCCTCCTGGCTCAGTCTCTAGAGCACTGGATCACAAGTGTTCGGCACCATGCCAACTCTCAAAAGTATTTTTATAATACGAAGATGTTATTTGCCTCTTTCAATGTGTTGATGTTTGCACTGATCTAATCGTCCAAAAGTACTAGGGGTTAAACAGCTAACAGCTTGGCACAAATCAAGGCAGCAGCGCACACACTGTTCTCTTTACCGACATACATTGGTGGTAGTAAAAAAGGCGTTTCACTTAAGAATGACCAAACTTGATTTCATTAGTTTCAACCCTTGAGTATATGGCTTTTTAATATTCTTTTGTTCGTTTGTTTGTTTTTTGAAATAGAGTCTTGTTATGTAGCCCAGGCTGGCCTCCTACTTTAGCAATCCTCCTGCCTCAGCTTCCCA